ATTAATCTTACTGGTCAATGCCAAGGCTCAGGCCACCACTCTAAGAAACACAGCACAAGATATTATCTAATGCAACTAAAGTAATTCTGAATAGAAGCCTATTTTGGGCACAAGAAATAGATCCTGGTTTCGATTCCTCACTCGAAACTTCATTGTATCCAAAAACCCAGAAAAAGGACAGGCTTGCCACTACATTTGGCATTTCCCAGATAGCACCTATTCTGGAAAATTACATTTTAATTAAGAAACAAGAAAAGCACCTTCCTCAAGTACGTTGCATTTTCTTCCCCTTGTAAATCCTCTCAGATCAACTAACAGGGAAACGTCTTTAAAACTTGCTCAACCTGCGTTCACCCTTGTGCCCCACAAGGAAGTTTCAAAAGCAAATGTCTCATCTAGCACACAGGCGAGAGCTCAGACTTCCCAAGACAACCTGTTCAGAAGCATCCATCCATCCATCCCGCTTTAGGACCCAAGACCACACAAGTGAATTTTGGCCATTCAATCAAGTCCAGGTGACAGGAATTCCATATTATCCAGATCAAGTAAGCCACAACAGCTTAACATTCTCCAAATGCACTGCAAGTTTCAGTTACAGTTCTTATCCAGTATCTTACTGGTTACAGTATCTTAGCCAGTATTTGGTCAATTCTCACATTAATGTCAACATGGAAACCTGGTTCATGGACTATTAAGTACTTAAGAAAGCATTACAAAAAGATGAAGAAAAAAATAAATCAGTTTATACTCCAGCTTAAAGTGGCCACACTTCCATTGCACAGGCCAGAATTCTTGATCTTTATGTTCAAGTTAGAAGAGGTTTTTAATTAACACAACCTATCCACAAACAAACCTTGGGCTACAGCCTGGCTAGAGAAAGCAAGAAGGCAAGGCTTATGCTGTTCAGATGTATTAACTGCTCCTTCAAACCACACAGGTTTCATCCATAAAAATCTCAAATTTGAAGTCCCCTGTTTTTAAGTGATTTTTTTTCTCCCCTCCCTTCTTCCTGAAAATGGAAAAGGATTGGGAAGAACTGAAGCATACATGTGCTTTGTATCTTTTGCATTAAGGAGAGAGACAAAGATTTGGTTGAGGCTTTTTAACCTCTTCAGGACTCCTAGCATAAATCAATGGGAAAGTGGGAAATCATAATGGACAGTGACTAAATGAGAATATGAATAAAACCAGAAGATCAGCATCACTTTGAGCATCTCATACTTCTGCAGTCATGTCCTTTATCATGGAAAAAACCCCAAATCCTTAAACATCACATTGTATTAAACAGGGTTTAGCATAGACCTAAACTCCAGCTTACGCTGCCTGTACAGGCACCTTTCAGAATTTCACACTTCTCCAGTAAAATTGCTAGCTCTTAAGCAGGCACTGAAACATACTCAGTTTTATTTCAAATTGAGGTGGCAGTACTACAATGTATACCAGCTCAAAGGAAGGGCAGGAAAAAAAAGAAAGAATAAAATCCCACTTTTCTACAAGTTTACTTAGCAGAGTAAGGAGCCATTTGGAGCAAACATCCCTCCCAAAGGGCAGGCAGGAGAATAAACACTGGCACCAGCACTCTTCATCCAAGTCTTCAGAAGTATCCAGCTTCCAGAACGGACAAGTACACAGCACCAGGGATTGCTGCACCATCATGTGCAAGCCCCGAGTTAATCAGCTATCCTTCACACATGAAAGTCAACTGACGGAAAGCATAGCTGACAACTGTAGAAGTAGAAATCAAATACAACAGCAATTTCTCTTTCCCAAAGAGAGTAATTTCTCTACCTAACTACAGTAATAAGGACTAAAATTAGTAATTCAGGAGTTGAACTGCACTTTCATTTTGTTTTACTCCCAGATGTCAACTAGTAAGGTATCAGCATATATATTTACCATATGAGGAAATCATGTTTGAACAACTTCAGCTTGCAAATGCTTTTCCTTCACTAATAAACCACAAGATTAAGCATCCCTGCAATGGCAGTATTCCCTATCCCAGTGATATCCTCTAACTTGATTATTTTGGGAATTTGCCTTTTAGGATAACATTTGGCTAAGCTCATATACTTGGCTAATAAAACATGGACTCTACAGAACAGCTTAAGTCAGTATTTCTCAAAAGGCACGAGGTGCAAAGGACTGGCTGTGGACACTGAAAACCCACCCTGAGCTCTCAGGCTGTGTGGTAGGGTTTCAAAAGTGACACAACCAGTTTAGAAGAAAGACGGGCTGTGTTCAAGCAGCTGGAAAAGCACTACCTTTAGTTGTTTAGTTTCACGAATCCTTTAATATAGTTTTAGTAGCAGCTGCACAACACCAAGTTATTAATCAAGCAGCAGTGTGCTTGCCCGACACAAGCCCCTACCCTGAAAATATTAGTTACTCTGAACAGCACGTGAGGTTTATGTATTGAGTGTCAGTGTCACATCACGCACTGTGCTCCAGCGCGTTTTAGCTGCCTCACAAATTCTAAACGGATGATGTACAGCTAGTGCTACACGAGGCAGTTTGTATTTATGGCTGATTAAATTATAAGTTTTGCTAGAATTGTCTACTTTTTTTTCTGAAGAGTCGCAATAGCAGAAGAAAGGCTTGTTAACATGATCAGAACAGTTTACATAACCTGGAAAGGAAGATTCTTAGTTTTACAAAGAGTAACTAGATTCCATCCATTCATAACCCACAATTCCAGAAATCTCAGCAGATCCACTCTCCCAAGTCCTGCTTTGCCCTGGACAGTGCATTCAGTTTATTTTTAGCACAAGATACAGCATCCATGCAGGCAGTTTTCAAGCTTCATGTGTTGCCCTGCCCTGTTTCTCCAAGCACCTGACTGAAATGTGGACACACTTCTGAATTCTCACATAAGCTCACCAGGAGCAATTCAGACTTAAGGTGGTGCAGAGGAGACAAAGGTGTCCATCTACATAGACACTGGTAACCCCACGGTACCAAGAAGGTGTTTGACCTCATATTCTGTACCATACCAGCCTCTCAGCTGCCATGGAACTTGCTGTTGCCTTCAATGAAAAGGCCATTTCTGCATTTCAGCGCTTCATTTCAGTATTGCGTTTTCATACCCACTACAGTGAAAGATCCTACAAGTCCTCTAAACACCAGGTTTGCACTTAAGTTGAAACTGTGATTCATCTTGCACGCTCCTACTGGACCCAGATAAACCATGCTGAAGTTGCCACTTGTTTTGAGTGAGTCTTCAGATGCGTACACAGCCACCACAACCTACAAATAACAGAGTGGCTGCCGCAGGTTCATCCCTGAAGCCCACTCAACATCGGAGACTAGCACATAGTGTTGGAACTTCTGATCAAATTTCTCCTACGCCCATGACTAAACACTAAACAAAAAAAAAAAAAAAAAAATCAGAAGACAGCATAAGCTTATAACACTCAGGAAATTTCTAAAGGATTTGTGCTCTACCTCCTCCAAAAGACCGACATAATTACACTGAAACCCTGACTGGATTCTTCTTATAGCATGCTTTCATTTCCTCTTAAAAGCAGCCAGCATCACCACTGTTATTTTACATGAAGCCTACTTGTTTTTCTTGAATTCTTATCATGTGAGGGTTTTTGCCATGGTAGAAGTCAGGATAGTTTGTTGGAATCCCAATTTCAAATTCTATAGTCAGTTCTCACACACACAGAGTTCAGTTTCTTAAAATATGATACACAATTGAAATAAGATGCTCCATCCTGTCAGTCTGCCCCCATACTCAGAAGTCAGGTACAGCATCTCGTTTGTTCAAACAAGAAGAGAGGAGCAGAACCTTGATCTTAACTATACTTCACCTTTCACCAGAAACTAAAGATCTTTATCCTGCGTAATACAGGTGGCAGGACCACCATGATTTTCAGCTCTGAAGAAAAAACATAAGGTATTGCCTCTGGAAACCTTATGGTTGAAGTTACAAAGTAAAGGATTACGCTTGCTTGCTTTACCAGCCTTTATATTGCTATACAGCCAGGCACTGGGTTGTTCTTTTTAACATTTTTTAACATTTGAACATTCTTAAATTATGTCGGAAAACCAGAATCACCAATTCCCAAGCACTGTAAAGTATGTCAGTGATTCCATACAGGCGATTACATCCATGGGGGTTGCACTGCCTTAAACAGGCTCCACAAAAACACACATCCACCCAGGCAGAGCTGGGAGCACACCAGGGCCAGGGCCAGGGCCAGTTTCCCTTCTTATTGTTGCATTTGTTTAGAGCTGATGAAATCTGCCCCCTTCACACAAGGTGCCAAAACAAAATGAAATGGGTTTGTGAGCTGAGCTAATCCGTGCAGCAAACACAGGGCAAGATGGAGATTATTTAACCTGACTGAAGAAACTAGAGGTTCTCCTCTGAAAAACTTAAAGTTCTTCTCCACGCAGAAAATCGGCACCTACCGCACAATGTTACCCACGCTGGATTTTCCTGTATTTTGCAGATTCCGTTAGCTCTCAGCACACACTAAGGAGCACGCCCAGCTTCCAGAGCAGCCGCAGACCCCGGGTTTGGGGTTTATGAGCAGCAGCAGAAGCAGACCGGCCCCCATCGCTCTCAAACGCCGCTGCTGCTGCTGCTCTGGCTCCCTAGCTCCGTTTACAACCACATCAAGCGGTAACATTCGCCGTACAGAGCGAAAGCATTCCCTCCATAAACACCACCTCGGGTATCAGGCCCAGAAACCTGGAACTAACGGGGAAACAGAAGAACCGGAGGGGCCCGGGCCCCCGCCGCTGGGCCCTGTGAGCCCTGGGCTGAGCCCCCCGCCCCCGGCTGCCCCAGCACCAGGCCAGGCCGCCCCTCCCCTCGCTGCCCCGGGCCCTCCCTCACCGCCAACTCGGGGAGGCCCCGCCGTGCGGCGAACGGGAAGGTGGGGGGGGGGGGGGGGCGGGTAGGGGAGCGGCGAAGGAGCCGCCGGGGCGCGGCAGCGGGGGGGCGGGAAGGGGAGCGGGCAGAGGCGAGGGGCCGCCCCCTTCGCCCTTACCATGGCGGCTCGGCGGGGCTGCGCTGGGCGGTAACAACGGCGGCGGCGGCGCCTCCCGGTCCCGTCCGGTCTCCCTCCGAGGCAGGCCGCGGCCCTTCCACTTCCGCCGTTGCCTAGGAGTGAACATCCGGGTCAGCGCCGCGCCGCCCCGCCCCCCCGCCGCCGCCCCGCCAATCAACGCGCGGTTCGCCGGCCATCGCCAAGTATGGAGCTTGGCGCGCGCGAACGGGGCGGGGAAGAACCACTCCCCCCACCACCACCACCACCGCCCCGCGGGGAGAGGCGGGGCTCCAGTGAGGGCGGCCAATCAGAGGGAGATGGGCGCCGTCAGTGGGCGTGGCCTGCGGGAGGGCGCGCCCACGGCTCGGCCCTCGGGCCCCGCTCCTCCGCGGGGCTGCGCGTCCCCCCGCGGAACGGCTTCGGAACTGTGCAGTGGGCCTCGGGGTTCAGCCGAAGGCGGTACCAGGTGGGCAGGTAGCGTGGAAGACGTCAGCCGGAACGGGTAACGTTTTGGCAGCCTCACCGGGGCCTGATAACTGATAGAGCCCGTAATGCAGCTATTTCAGCTCTAAAGTGACACGGAAAAAAAAAAAAGCCTCTAGCTGCTGAAGGCCAGCGTTAATTTGAAAAGCAAGTGGTCAGCCTTCTCTGGAAGCTTAGTCTTTGATTCAGCAAAGCATGCAGGTACCTGCTGGGAGCTAAGCAGGTGCTTACCTATTTTGATGACTTCAGGGCTCTGGCAGCTGCGATACAGATCTCCAAAGGCGAGATAGAAATCAAAAAATCGGGGTGTAGGCGCAAATAAAACTTTTCTCAAAGCGTCCCAGAAAGAAACCATTATTTTTCCCTAATGCACTAATTCACGTTCCAGTGATCTCAAGTAAATCTGATCCTGATTCCAGCCTCCAGACCTGTACTTCTCAGTGTGGACCTGCCAGTTGCAGAGCTGCCAAGTATCCGATTACTCCAGGAAAGCATCCGATTCATTATGTGACAACGCTTCCCTCTGCAGCTTTTTTGGAACAATTATTTGGCCCAGAGTTTGGTGCCAGGATCCTGAGAACCCTCCCCTGGTGCTCTCTGGCCCCTGCACTGCAGACTTGGCCCTCGTGAGCCAAAAGCCCGTTTATTTTCCTTCATTTGCAGCAGAAACTGGAAATGCTGACAAGGGGGGGTGGCACACCGCTTCATTCTTCCCATGGATGGAACACTGTGCTACATCCTTCCTGCAGGAGACAGCCAAGGCCAAGTTCTGACTTTTCATACAGACACTACCACAGGTGCTTGTGGCTCAACTCTAAATTTTCCTAGCCATCAGATATCAAACAGGACCTTCCAAGAGATAACAACCCTGACCACGCTCATTTTATTTAACAGCACAAAACAGCCGTAGCTTCCAGTTGGAAGAGAAGCAGAAAAATTTCCAAGGAAGTGAACTGCTCAGACACACGTCCCATTGCAATAGCTAGCATCAAGGCATGACTGTTAAACATGAGTTTGCATGACAAATGACCACACGCAGACGTAACAGCTATCACTGCTTACACTGATTAGAAAATCCAAGCTATAACTTGTGACAATCTGCTGTCACCCATTTTGCTAAGTTACCCTTTACCCACTTTTCTCCGTTCCTCTGTCACCATTTTTAAACCTTTGGTGTTTTCATTGCAGGAACAAAATGACCCTGGGAAGCAAAGGACAGAAAACAGTAGAAAATCGCCAGAAAAACAGGAGCTATATTGCTTCACATAAAAGGACACAAAACTCCGTCAATAATCTGCTACCAAATAAACACTAAGATGGAAAGTAATCTTGTCATGTCTAACAGTGGCCACAAGACCTCCAGAAGCATTCCCTGTGCTAGAATCTCCAAATTCAATTCTCTGCCAATAGGAGTGAGCCCAACCACCCTAAACCCAGTTCATAAAATGCAACAATCCAAAGTGGCTTCTGTTTTGCAGTCCCCAGATCCTTCAGTCCTTGTGTTCCCTCAGAGGTGCCTATCAGCAGTAATTAAGAAAAGCAAGCCTGTTCGTTACACAGGGCAAATTATTAATTCATTTTACAGTGGTCCACACATCTATGTGCATGTTTTCCTTGGTGCAGGGTCTGGGAGGACAGAATTGATGAATTTGAAAATGCACGTTCTAAACTTCATCATTTTTGTTCACAAAACTCATGCAAAGTACTCAATGACTACTTTTTGTAGCCGTTATGAACAGAAACTGTTTCTAGCTGCTCGCTGAAGCAGCAGACCAATAGCAGAATTTTTCAGCCTAGTATAATTTAAACAATTTGAGATCCAAATGAATGTTGAGGCCAAGAGGATGTTTTTCTTAGCGGAAGAAATGCAAGCATCCTGGATTTTGTTTTCCTGCTAATAGGTATAAAGAAGAATAAACAGCTGCTTTTTGTTTTCCCCAAAATATTTGCATTAAGAAGATCTGCAGATTCCTTCTGCAGTTGATGTAACATCTTTTCAAATGAGGACCAGCTGCTTGCTTTGCTTGTTTATAGCAGGACATGCTTAAGGGAATTTTTTTTTGTTTGTTTATTAAGATGTAGGACCAGACTCTCCCTGGTAGGCTGCAATTTGCAGCACGGAGTAGATCTCAGCAGGCAGAAGGCTCTGCATATGTATCTACAGTTGTAGCCATCCTGCCTTCTGTTGCAATTCGTGGAGGGCTTGACACCAAATACGGCTAATTCAGGGACATTCGATAAATCTGAGTGCTGTGAGGTAGCGTTACCTGCGGTACAGGTACTTCCCACACCTCCTGGCATGGAATCACCCACCTAAACAGAAAAGAGTGTGCTCAAAAGCCTTCGTGTCAGGCATTACACAACTTTGAAACGAGGATCTATAAACAAAGGAAACAAACAATGATGTCAGTTGACGGCTTCACGGCCCTGCAACATCAGATTCATGTGCAATTAATAACAAGGCTTTTGATCTTGCAATCAGCAACTATAAAATACATGTGCTTTCCCTGCACACTTGATTATATTCAAGGAAGCAAAAGGATAAATACTTATTAGCATTACAAAGTACTTTTCATGTTCAGCCAGATCTTCATAAAGCATTTGTGGTCCAACACAATGTGGTTTTTATTTTATCCTCCTGCATGCATGGTGAAAGACTGTTTATTTTGTTTATTCCAGTGTTTAGCCAGGGCCAAGGGTGACTGTGAGAACATGCTTAGAAACAAGGTCCTAGAGAAAACTTTCATGCTTGACTGAATATTCATTTTTCTATTAAAGAAAAAGACATCTTGAGCTTTTTTTTTTTTAGGTCAGATTGCCCATATTCTTTCATGTCAAGCTTGTGGCACTTGAAAGATATGTAAACTTTTATTAGGGGTTCTCATAAATTGAATTTACTGCTGCAAGAGTCTTCCAGCAGTGGTAAAGTTTAGCTTGCTGGGTTTTATTAGTCAGAGTCAGTAAACCAGCAGCATCACTTGATTTGAGGCTGAAAACCAAGCATTTCTTGGAAACTAGTGTAGGAAAAAGGTACCTACAACACTACCCAACATCTTGGAATTCCATATTCAAGCCACAGATAGTTCTCACTATGGAGATCTTTGTACACACTGTCAAAATAGCACACAAACAATAAAAAAAGCCTTTCTCCCAATCCAACTCCAGAGCAACTTTACTGAGGGTACTCTTGGAATATAAAGGTTTTAAGAGTTTCCCCTCACTGCGGGAACTGATGAGTAAATCAGAATACCATGTTTAATGAAAAACAACATATTGCCGATTTAGTGCGAAGTTTGAGGCATTTCCCTCCCCCCAAGAATGCTAAAACCAGACTTTTTTCCACTTCATCAGCACCCAAGCAGATCTGCTCATCTGATTAATGTGAAAGACAATAAACCTAGCAGCCTAAGATGTCCATATACTGGCCAAAAATGAGACATTTTACTACCAATGCAGCACTGTCACAGTAAGAGCAGAGACAGTAAAGGTTACACATCACTCAAGCATGCATATCATTAGAGGCACAAGGTTTTTCTGGCTTTGACCATTTTCTTACAATTGTTTTGCCTAAATAGGTATGTCCTATATCCCTCTTTCACAGACTGAGGAGCAAACTTAGCCACTCCGCTGAAGCCAGCATCCACAGAGATGGGTTTTAGCAGAGACGCTTGTTAAAAAGTCACATCTCTGCAATCTAGGTCTGTATCTTGGACACAGAAGAATTCTTTTTTTTATTTTTTTTCCTTCACATATAAAGTAACATCCTCATCCCCTAGTAACAATTGCTTTATCTCTGTCCAAATGTACCTGCCCACATTTTGAGAACACTGTCTGGACATGCTTTGGGGTTGCTTGCAGCCACACTGTCTTCACGTGTCCCACAGATTTCAATCCAATTGTGTTCCACAAAATGTTTCATACAAGATGGACAAATGTGTCTGAGACATATCTGAAATTCCACCTCAAGCAACCCCCAGTAATACTTGTTCAGAAAAGGACTGTGAGGCATTTTTTTAAATAGCAGTCCAGAGTAGTGGACAGCAGGACTACTGGGATTGCTAGTTGTCCTGCTCATTCCACTTGGCTGCGTATCCCAGGATAGTGTTTATTTCCGTGCTTGCGACTGCTCTTTTAACTTTATATTTCAGCAGAGAAAGCTTGATAGACAGGAGCTTTCAGAAATGTCTTTAGCCTGAGCAGAGAGAGTATTGACAACATTCTTGTCAAACTTGGTCATTAACTATGGTTATAATGTCTGTAGCCTGTCATTAAAAAAGAATCAAGGAGAAGCTGATTAAATGCACCAGAAAGAAACAATACTTTCCATTCCCTTACTTTTTCCTTGACACGTTGCACTTCATTTGAAGCTTGCTAATATACCAGCCAAAAGAATTGTGAGGGCCTGGATTCTTTCTTAATACAATAGTCACGGTTCACTAGTTAAAATCTGTATAGAATTAGCCAGTGACATGGACGAATGGAAAAACATACTTAAAGAACTGAAAAATAGCACTCTTTCGCAGGCTTACTCATAAGAAAACCTCTATCAGTACAGTGCATTAGTTGTTTTCCTATTTCTACTACTACACTAAAAAATTATCACAAAATAGTATATGTCAAATAAAGACAAGGAATGTCCTAGCAGTGCTATGCCTGAAACAGAAGGGTTAGCAAAAACTCAGATCAGTCTTTCCATGAATGTCCTTTCCTCCAGAGATTTTTGGGGCAAACTTCATATTCACAGCAAAAGCAGCTTAAAGCAGAATTAGCACAACGAGCTGTGACACATCTTGTTCCATTTTTCAAAGTTCCACTTAAATCAGCCATACCTGACAACTGTAACCAGCAGTACCACGCTACTGAATATAACATTACATCAGCTTTGCAAAACTGGCATGAAAATACATTAGCACAGACACAAAATGGACTTGCTTATTAACGTGAACGTGATCACCATGAAAAGACTGAATGATACTTCACTCTGCATCACAAGCTGTCCCTCCTAATGCAAGTCTACCTCAGCCTTCAGACTATTGTTCATCCCCACAGTATCCAACTGCCTTCCACATAAAATCAATAAGAATAGCGAAGTAGACTTAATGGAGTCCCTGGCACTTTTCCCATTTTAGGGCAAAGTCCTGCTGAGGAAGGGTTTCTTTTTCCTCTGACTTTGGACTTAGACTTTTTTTGTTCTTGCTTGGATAGCAAGAAGGCTTTCAAAGAGAATAATAAGCATCAGTATCTGCTGGTGAATGGGGCTTGTACCTGTGAGGAAAAAAACCCAACAAACTGAAGTGGAGACAGAGTTGAAGTTTCCTGCCCAGGTCTGATTCTCTTTGTAACATGAAAGAAGCATCCTGGAAGTAGAGACAGCAAAGTGGGGGCTCACTACCAAGGCTGTGTCAACCATTTCAGGCAGATAACTCCTACACTGCTGTCTTCCTATGCAGATCACTGCTACTCTTGGAGGGAAAAAAAAAAAAAAAAAAGTGTGTGGGGGAGGCAATTCATGTTATTTAAAGTTATGGGAGAACTTCCATGGGTATTATTTGGAAAAGAGATCAAGAGCCTATTAGTATTCAGTGGGGAACTGACAGGAGGGATGCTATAGGATTCTTTGGAAAAACAGGGTAAGAGGTGATACTTCCTGTGGAAGGATCAAGATTGAAAAGAACCAACCACCTTATACTGCACTACGTAAAAGCTGGGGCTAACATTTAAAAGGAAAGAAAGTTTGTTACATTGAAAAGGGGCTTCAAATTCTGGCTGGTGCAGCCCCAGAGAAGCTCCTCACCTCCACGTGTGCGTAGAGACGTGTGCTCTGCATGGCTTCTTCCGTGAGACACCAGGGAAATAGCAATTTTGAAGAATAATGGTGGTACTTATTCATCTTAGATTTCCAATTCTGCCCCTAGCTTGTCTGTTGGCCATCTGTTGAAAAATTAGCAGTTTACTGAAGTGTATGCCTAACTTTTAGTCTTAAGAATTTAATACACAGCTCAAGTTAGGTACGTAGTTAAGAAAACTGGTGATACAAGGTCTGAATCTACTAAAAGTTGACTTCCATCAGAGAAAGGCAGGGATTTTTTTTTCTGGCTTCATTTCAGCCTCCTCTATTTTTTCTTATATTTACTGAAAAGAGTGTGAGGGGAGAAGTGAAGGAAGGAACCCTGGGACAGCACATGCTGGGCTATAAATATAAAAAAGGTTTTTCAAAACCGCATGTTCTAAACATCACCTTGGAGTCATGTAATAATAAATACTCAATATTACATTGAGAGGGTTTAATTGCCAAGTAACTATAGCAATAGAGAGAAAAGGCTGTCTTTGGATACATTCCCTCCTGCCTTAATTTTTCCCTGGGGTGGGGAAGGGGTGCAGAGAATGTGCTCTAGATCCTCACTGGATAACATTTTCCAGAGCCCCCTCTGATCACTCAGTGACTCTGGGATTTAAAAGCAGCAGACTGATTTCTCAGAAGGAAGCTGGACGTTCAAAACAATTACAGTGAACTATTCCATCTCCTTAGGAAGGGTTTAAAGCACCAGGTTCCTGACGCAAGGCTGTCAAAATACATTGAGACCCATTACACAGCTACGCAACCCTTTATGAAGCGCCTTACAGTCCAACAGCTCACCACCACTTCCTTCATCCCCAAAGAAACGGCGCTTTCCAGTGAGCCTAACAGTCTGAAAATGAGTAAGTGTGAAGTGAGACTACACATTGGCCTGCACTGGGTATTTGTTTTTGCCAAAGAGAAGACCACATTTCTGTGTTGTGTTTAAATACTGATTTCTGGAATTTAATTTGGGGGAAAAAAAAATTAAAGAATTATCTGGAGGCTTCAAGTATCTTTCCCCTCCTGATATTTTCCAGAGCTGGTTGGAAATGGGAGGGTGGAGCTGGCACATTGGGATGTACCACTGGGTCAGTGGTTTCAGAAAACACTTCTTTATCCGGTCAGGGAAAAAACTGCTTGATCCTGTTGGTATTTTTATAAGTAACTTGATGCATAGTTCTATTTTTGATACTGACTATGCAGCAATGCAAACTGATTTGAGTAGATTGAAAGGGGAAGAACAGAAAAGGAGGCTCCCTTGACAGAAGAACAAGAACTCCGCACGTCAAACTGCCTTCTCCGGGGAAACCTCTTGATTCTGCAAGGACTTAGTTTAACCATTTGCCTTCCAAAAGTCTTTTTTAAAAAGCCATTTAGATTTTTTAAACTAAATAAAAATAATAGGCAATTGTGATTGTTCAGTGATATGTGATGGAGTTGAACTAAACCAAATATAGGAAAAATCTTTCATTATTGCTCTAGATCAAAACCAATCGTACTTTTAAGACAAATGAAAGACTGCAAACAATAGTAACTTATAGAAACCTCATAGCGGCCTTCTGGTACTTAAAGGGGGCCTATAGGAAAGGTGGGGAAGGACACTTTATCAGGGGGGTAGCAATAGGACAAGGGGTAACAGCTTTAAACTGAAAGAGGGTAGGTTTGGATTAGGCTTAAGGAAGAAATTCTTCCCTGTGCAGGGGGTGAGGCGCTGGCCCAGGGTGCCCAGAGCAGCTGTGGCTGCCCCCTCCCTGGAAGGGTTCAAGGCCAGGTTGGAGGGGGATGGGGGAAGGGGTCCCTGCCCCGGGGCAGGGAGGGTGGGACTAGATGAGCTTTAAGGTCCCTTGCAACCCACACCATTCTAGAATTCTGCAATAGCTTCAGAAGACTTTTGCCAACTTCAGAGAGTTTTGACTTCTATTTGTTGCTTTAGTCTATAACAGACTTGTTAAAGAACTTCCAGTTTTATAAAGCAGTAGAGCTTCCTCCTCTCCAACCAGATAAAGCAAACTGTCAAAACTTGATCAAAACAAGTAATCACAGCTAAAAATTGACTTACCAAGTGTGAACAGGGACATTATTACTTGAAAAGCACTCTGTATTTTTTCACAAGACTTCTAGAGAATGACTTCCAGAAAGCCTACACAACATTTGCAATATAAAGTTAATTACTCTAAGTTTGAAACTATTCACACTTACATTCCTGGTTCCATAATGCTGTAACACACTTCAAGATGTGCCAAAGACCCATAAATCATCGGGAAGCCTTCCCCCACCACCTTACTCTAATATTAGCATCCTGTTGTAGGGAATAACTTCTTGAATATGACATTCCTTTCTTGCTGATAGAATTCCACTCTTCTTCCCCAATTAGGCAGTTAAAGCGAAGGGCCTATGTTGCTCTTAAGAGGTGACACCTGGCACATTAATAGGCATTGGCAACAGCTGTTTTTTTCACACACCTGTACCTCTTTTCAGGCCCTGAAGAGAAGTTGAGCACAGCCAACAGAGATGCAGTTGTCTGTAAGCCTCTGTGAGGGAAAACCTACACAGGAATATCCAGTGGGATGTACCTCAGCCCTGCAGCGAGAGAGAGGGGACCCTACAGCAAAGATCGGCTCTTACCAAGCATGAGGTGAGAGCCCTCAGGGGAGCAGGTCGGCGGGGTCGGGTGCAAGCCGGGGGCCTGGGAGAGGATGAGGATCCTGATTTAGGCTGAGGGATACGAGGCCTAACAACGACAGAGCGGGAGCCCTGACTGAGGAGCTGGGACCCAGGAACGGCTGGGGCTGTGGCGGGCCGGGTCCTACCGGAAAAAATGGGGCTTTTGGGCCAGGCCCAAGATCGAGCGCGGCGGACATCGCGCCCTCCCACCGCTAACCTCGACGGCAGCGGCCGCGGCGGGAAAGATCTCGCGAGATCTGGCGCGCCGCCGTCGGTCCGCCCCGGCCCAGTCTCGCGAGAGTTGCGCGGGGGAGGAGACGAGGGCACGGCCTGAGGCGGGAGGGGGATGGCCAAGATGGCGTCGGAGGGCGAGCTGGGCAGGAAGTGGGACCGGTGTCTGGCGGACTCCGCCGTCAAGCTGGGTAAGGGCGGGGAGGGCAGGGCAGGGCAGGGCAGGGCAGGAGCACCCGGGGAGCAGCGGTAGCGGCCAGTCGAGCGCCCCGGGGCTGGGAGGGCTGCCCACCCCCCCGCCCGGCACTGCGGGGAAGGGCCGTGGGAGGCCCGGTGCCCCCCGCCGCTGCGGGCCCGGCTTAGATCGGCGGCGGCCCCGGCGCGCTGTGGGCCCGGGCGGGGCGGCGGGGCGTTCTCCGCGCAGGACAGCGCTGCCCACCCGGCTCGGGGACTGGCGGCGGGAGGAGCGGGGCCTGGCAAGGTGACCTTGGCCGCCGCAGGGACCCCCGCTGGGCCCGCTCCCACGGCCGCCCCGGGCTCTTCTCCCCGGCCCGGCCCCGTCTTACCCGCGGTCCAGGTCGGGTTTGACCTCTGGTTGCTCTCTGGGTTGAAGATGAGAGGTTTCCGTGGGAAATCTCCCTCCGCGCTGGGCTCCGCGGCCGGCGGGACGCCTCCTGCCCCGAATGAATGGGCCCCGCACAGGCATAACCGGGTCCCTCCGTGCCACGACCTTGCCTGCCTTCAGTTTCGCTATGACAGCGGCTTGGTTTTCAAAATCTGCTTCTGCAGAGCTGCTCGCATCACTCAGTGTACGAGGTGGGCTGTGTTTATTAAAAGCAATACGCAGTGTGACACGCTGATAGCTTTGGCATGTGTTACTTAGCACAGTGTGTGCAGTTTGACATTGAGAAGCTTTCCGTCCGGTGGCCCAGCCCTGCAGACAGTCGTGCCTTGGAGTAGGGGAACAGTTCCGTTGATTTTCTTCCAGGTTTATTTGTCCTTAAAGTTAGGACTATGTATATGCTTGCTGTGCTTCAGATCTGCAACAAACCATAGCATTTCACTTAAAGCTGTGAGTTTTAAGAAGGATCGTAATTGTGTATGTGCCGTTCAGTGCTCTTCATGGGACAGGCTGACAGGCCGACTAGACAGAGGTTGTAGCTTTACAAAATGTGTATACCAAAGCAAATCCTGAAGTGCAGTGTATAGAGTGAGAAGTGAAGTATCTGACACGAAAGGTATGTGTTCCATGTTGGTGCAGAAGCCTCTTTTAGAGCCATAAATAATATCTGAGAAATGTGAATGTTTACTTCTTGTTGCTGTAGTGGCCTTATGCTTGAAAGCTGATGAGGAACTCAGGGTTTTAGTTGCCTAATACTTTTCCATTAGAAAAGATGTTTAATAATTTTAAGTAAACTGAAACTTCCATTGTTTATAACAGGCCTTTGGAAAGTGTCAAGTGCTCCGGAGCAGTGTTTTGCCTTATGAAATTCTATTCAGGTTTGTCTGACAAACATATCCACATATGTTTATGTTTCCACAGCATTGGTTGCTTTATCATAAAATATTAAGTATGCCAAATTATAAACAAAAACGTGCTCCATGCTGCAGCTGTACATGTACATGTAGGAATCCTGTGCATGGAAAGTCTTTCCAGGAGACTGAAAGAAGTGGATACAGGGTTGATTTCAATGCAGCATGTCTCTTCAGCAGGCCTTTCATTTTAATTTGGTGTTTTTTTCCATCCTAAAGTGACAACAGAAGAAAGAAAATGCGCTGAATCTTAATGCACTAGTGTCCGGACCAAGGGTTCCTAGTGTTAGCTTCATGACGGCATTGAGTAGAGGTCTCAGTAAAATTCATGTTTTTCATTAGATTGCCCAAAAAGGGCACGTGGGCTGCAGCTTTTGAATTTTTTCCTTAGCATTAAACCCAGCTTGATGGCCTTAGACACGTGTTTCTCTTCATGAGTGATAGCGTTTTTCTGTTTTGTGTGCTTTTACAATTGATCCAGTAACTGAAGCGTCTGTGCTGGCAACCTCCTCCGTGGCATTAACAACAAATGACTCGGTATGAACTTTGGAAGTCTGAACAACCCAGAAGTTGCTTCATACTCCAGTAGTTTGTGACAGAAGACGATGATGGCCTTTAAATGAGAAGTGAGTCGGTGGCCTAGCTATGCAAACTGTTAACTGAGTGCTGATAACACAAACTTTCTCAGACTATCTCAGTGGAAATTATTGTTTTCTTTGCAGAGACTTTATGCGTGGTTGTGATGATTGTTTTTGTAATATTACTGCAAAGTTTACTGGAATTTCCAATAAACTATCAAGGGCAGTTGTTATACTGGAAAGAAAGAAAGAAAATAAAGTTTTTCACTTAGGATTTCATTACTTGTTATGTGGGATATAAAAGTTTACTAAATCCTCACTTCTTTGTTGGACTTTTCCTTTTGGTGGCCACAGTTTCCTTCCTTTATGTCCTTCCTGAGATGAGAAGAGAGATCTTTCCAGCCAATGACTGGAGAGAAACAAACATTGTGAGTAGCCCTGTGTTTTCCCCTTCCAGACCTCATAAAGGAAAGCACCGAATTTCTGAAGCCTTGCACGCATGAGAGTTTTCCAGTGTCTGTGAGACCTGTAGAGATAAATTATTGCTGTAGATTAATTTGAGGGCTGGAGGGACATGGGAAACAAAAGAGAATGAGAAGGGAAGGTATCAGCTATCAGGATGACTTTATTAGCAATAGTATGTTTTTAAATAATAGTTGGTGGCTGTGCAGCCTGTCCTAGCTTGTATCGGTTTGTCAGGCTTTCCACTGCAGTTGCTTCAGCCAGTGTGGTTGTAGTTGACTGTGGTGTTTGTAATTATGCTGTACTAGTTTATTTGGAGATCAAGCGCCTGGAAGCAATTTGATCTCCTGCCATTAAAATGTCCAAAATGGATGTTAATCTTCTGTTACATCTTTTGAAATGCTGTATTGTATTTTTGACCTCTTGGTCACCACCTGTGTGCATCTTGTAATTTAGTATAAAAACTTTCTTCTTCTTGTCAGTTTAAAACAGAATATGTTGTCAGGCATTGTTAAGACAGTATTTCGTTTCAGAGAGTTAAGTACTGTAAACCTCTGCATGCTTGCACAAAACATTGAAACATTGTTAAATGGAGTTTATGCACTCACCTCCTTTTTATTAGGACTGACATTAATTTGTTTTGCTAATGATGAGGATGGGTCTGGGTATTTTTGTTCTCTTTAGCTTTCTAAATCTAGCTGTAACCACACTGTTTTGTGTGTAGTGGGCCAGGTTGTGCTTTCTTGGCTGCTCAGGTGGTTTCTCTGAGGGGCAATCCAGATCATGCTGGCTCTGGCTTCACGCTGTTCTCAAGACTCTTCACCCATGCAGTCATTTAAACAATTTAACTTTCTGTTCTGTCTTTCTTCCCGATACTGATTTTTCTTACCCATCAGTTGTTTGTTTCATGTATGGAGAAGGAGAACCAAACTACAGTGGCCTTCTTTTTCTTCCCAGCTTGCAAAACTTTATCAACTCCTGTGTCCTCTCCAGCCTTCACAACCATTTCTTACTTTTCATCAGTAGAGCTCTGCAGAGAAGAGCTGGGGAAGGAACTGTGTCTTCTTCCATCCTACCTGCTTCAAACCCTGTTTAAAGGATTGGTTTGTTTGTTTAACTGATTGATAGTTCATGCGTGTTTATTTGGAAAGACAATTACTCACGAAGGACTGATAGAGTTGTTTTTTCTCTGTGAGGCTATAATTTTGGACACATCATTGTTATATGCCATTTCTGGGGAACAGGGAGGCAATAAAGGGTATGTGTGTAAGGGGAAGGAGATTTGTGTGCCCGTGCGTGTTGGTTGGTTTTGTAACTGTTGTAATTTTAAATGAGTTGAACACTAATTTACCTGATATTGAAAGGTAATCCTAGGAAAGCTGTTTGCTTCTTGACTTGTGTGTTAAGCTGATGTGCTGAAGTTAATTTTTTTTTTTTTCAGGAGATAGATGTTTCATGTATGTCTGTGATTGACCTAAATTCAGCCTGGAAGCTTGTAAATAACCCAGTGTAGTAATGTTAATTTTCCACTAATCCTCTGTTTTGACATCTAAAAATAAAATGTTTCTAATTTCCATTGAATAGGATTTTTTTTTAAGAGAAAAAGGCACTTTCAATTCTCCTGTAACTGTTATGTAATTTCTTCTGGCCTGATTGAATAGCTGTTTCTGTTAATGGCAAGGGTAAAATTGTATTGTTTGTGTCATTCCACAGATTGAGTATTTCAGAAAGAACCATTGTATGGATTGCAATGTCAGTATTTTTAAATAATCTTTCACATGGTTATGAATAGGATAAAGTCAGTCTATATAATGATAAAACTTGATTATACTTTCTGAAAACTGGATTAGACTTTCTCTAAATATACAAAATCCTGAAATTCCTGTTTTGAAGTATTTTTTTGCTTGGCAATTGTAATGTGGCCATCCAATCTTATCTATCAGGTCAAAAGACTTGTTCCCCAGTTGGGATTTTGTTTCTAATACTGAAGAACACAAATATTATGCAAGCACACAACTGCATTATTATGTGAGCTTTGTTTGTAACCCAAAGTTATTTTTCTGTGTTGTACAGGAACAGATCCAGTTCTACTAGTTGTATCTTGTAGCAGACCAAGTAGTGTAAATATTAACTGCTTATGGTTTAGGCTGTGCAGGGAGGCAATTCAGCCAACAACAACAACAACAAAAAAAATTATTTGAAAGAGGTGGACAGATGCTGTTCTGAGACTAGGCTTTTAGTCAAAAATCTAACAGCAATATTTAGTTATGTCGTTAGGAGAGTTCTGAATACAATGACTGTCTGCAGATTGAAGGGCTATTATCTTCTTTTGGAAGAAAAGGATGGAAAACCTTTAGGAATCCAGGTGTCTCTTCTTTTAACTGCATTGTGTCCTGCTGTTCCCCTTGGCTGGCCGTCAGACCGAGTCAGGAAGCTGCCCTGCCAAGGTGTGCCTGATCAACTCCCTGACCGAAGTCGTGAGCGATACTGGGGAAACCCTGCTCAACCCTTGTTCCAGCCTGCTCTTGGCAATGCTTCTGGTGTGCCAGAAAACCTGACACAGGAGCTGTGACGTCTGTCTGATAGTGCAGTCATTTAAAACCCATGACTGCGTTAGGTCTCCTCTGCTGGAAATGAATCCAAAGTGCACGGACTTCCTTGTCCTCCGCATTAGTGTGTTGATAAGATGCCAGCTGTGTTGCCTTGGGGAGGTGGCACACAGTGACACTGTCCAGGGGAGGGGGACTGTAGCCAAGGGATGCCTTAAACCACTCATTTGGTCCTTGAGATGTTACAGCAGTAGGTGGGAACAACTCTTTGTTATATCAGATATAGTTTTCTGAGAAAAGCCTTTCAGGGCTGCTGGCACATCCTTGATGATAATAAATTAATGGCAAGAGCTTTGAGAAGGATCAGGCTTCTTTCCTTAGCACTTCTGCTAGTGAGATGCCACCGTAACACTTCTTGCTCTGAACAGCCTCTATTTCTTAGCTGAGCCAGTAGACGTCAGTAATGGTCAACCTACGTTGGATGGGTGTGAAGAAGCATGATTGCCAACCCTCATAGTTAGGCTTGCAAAAGCCCAAAACATGGATGTGCTTGCTACAGAAAAACTTACCTTTTTAGCAATGCTGTTGTTTTCATTAGTGGAATGCTTTATTGCAGTAAGACAAGGTCAACTTCTCTGTCAGAGGTGTACTTTCCATATTATGAGTATCTTGCTGATTTCTTATATATGTGCCTCTAAAGCGAGTTCAACCCTGATTTTGTCTAAAAGCTTGATGCAATATTGATGAGATCCTTTGTTGTGTGGTCTATTCCAAGAGCAGCTTCCATTCTTTTCTCTTTCTTTTTAAAGAGGGAGGAAATGCGTGTCCCCGCTTGTCTCACCAGCTCATTCACCAGTGTGAGGATGAAAAGTTTCTGGTCCCCTACGAGACTATTGCTGTGACTGCTTGGGGGGGAGATCATGGGCTAACGGTGATACTTCCCGCTGCTGTGTCCATCTGCAGAAGTGCTGGTGTTTATCTAAGGTTAGCCTTTGGGCAGCGGCTGACCTGCAGCAGTGCTTAAGGGTGAAAGTGGCCCCTGGAAGCATATTGGGATTTTTTTATTATAATGGTATTTGGATATTTATATTCTGTCATTCCAAGTATTCTGTGTTACTACAGTCAAATGCTAGAAGAAAACAAAACACACTTTTTTCCTGCTTCTTCCTCGAGTACTTGGTATATAGTTTCACTATGTTTTCTTCTCGTGTCCTTGTTCATTTTTCTGTCTGCTATGTAAACAATCCACACAACGGGGGAGATGAGAATGAAAGCTTCAGAGTTGGTGTTTGAAGAAAATCTGATTCCTGCCACAAAGGGCCTTGCTAAGAATTTGCTTAAAATTAATTCTCTCCGAAAATAAGTGATTTCATGGTCTTGGATTTCTAACTGGTGCTAAGTGCTGCCCTATAAAAAGGTCCTGGTGTATGAAGAAGGCTTTCCTCCCTACTTTTGCAAAACAAGTATCAAAGTATCTTGTCAAAGTGGGAATGGAGTGGGGCAGGATGGGACACCCTACAAGAGGAGGGAGAATATTGTTTTGAGAGTTGCTTGCCTTTTTTGTTTGTTTTGATGATCTTGACTTTTCTTGGGTATTTCCTTACCTAAAGCAAATTGTAGTGCTGGACTGAGCTCATGCTCATTTGAAACTTCCACTGCATCAGGCCCGTGGATGTGATCTCCTGTTGGACCTTGATGCTGTTGCTGTCACTGTCCCAAGAGAGAAGCTAACTGAGCTTGAGAGGTTTTCTTGATCCTAGTGAAAGCTGTCTTTCTAGCTGGGAGGAAAAAATCTTCTCTGTTCGGACAAGTCCCTGACCTGTTTTAGAGAGTCTTGTCTGTACAGAGTGGTTGCTATTTTCTTGGAACAGAAGCCATCTTCCAGGAGCTCCTTCTTAATTTTATTTCAGTCATTTAGTTCTTTTAATTGTAAAATAACAGAATCTGAAGGAGAGGAGCCTGGAGCTCTCTATTTTGTATTTGTGTGTAAGGAATGGCAGAGGAAAATAATAGTTTTCTTTTTGTCATCAGATTAAATAATTGAAAAACTTCCAGGTGCTATAGTAACAGCAACACATTTGCCAGATGTCAACAAGCATATTTTAATCCTTCTATTTATATTTCAAGCTATTGAAGAAAACTATAGCTGGGTGTGGCAGTCTTAATAGCTGCTCCAGCCTATAGCTACTTGGGTAGCCTCGGGAAGAGCCGTGTAGTATCGCTGTTGGAGGGACTGTTGATTAAATTTGTAGAAAAAGCTTTTCCCAGATGTTCTTATGGGGCAGGAGCCCATCCTGAAGATTAGTGTTTCTCTCTGAGACACTTTTATGATGTCCTGTTGGGTATACGGCGCGTGCTCTTCTGTGTGTTAGATTGATTTGAGGTACTGTGACATTTTTCTTGGAAGGTGTAAGAGCCAGAAAAGCAGAATTAAAAAGTTTTGGAGACTGGGCTTTCTGCCTAATACCAATTCCGTGTGGCTGTGCCGGTCCGTGCGGCCAGGACGCTTACTGGGGAGCGGGAGGAGAATGTCCACAGAACTGTCCTGTCCCCTGTTGACACTGACTGTAAATGAGTTTAAGCTGAAGTGATAGATGTAGGGTGGAAGGGACTGTTTTTCTAGTTAAACATTTTAAACTGTCAGAGGAGGTGAAAAATGTATCATACTCTTTCCTGTGGCCTTTTTCTCCAAAGAGTCTGTCATGCAAAAAAGGGAGGGAGAATGTACCCGGCGTGGATCAAGCCCTTAGCTTTTCCATGTTCGTTTGTTTTTATTGTAAGATAAACCTTTCATGTTTTATTGTTATGAAGTTAAAGCCTGGCCTAGAGGTGCTGATCTTTAGTAGAAACAGCTGCAGACTGAGTGTCCCCTGGTCAGGTGGGAGGCTCTTTGAAGCAACATGTTGCCTCTTTAAAAGGAAATTGAGCATGTGAGAACTTAAACCTGTAAAACTCATCAACAGCTCTGCCATTGTTTATCTCTGGTGTAACTTTATATAGAATTAAAGTGAAATGTGTTACTTTGCTCCCAAGACAAGATGGTTTAGCTCCCCCTTGGTCCTGGAGACGCAGGAAATGACCACATAACCACAAATACTTTCTAGGGGAATGAAGATGAGTGACAAACTATCCACAGAAATCGGTCCTTAACCAGATGGGCTAAGAAATTAAATGTAGCTAAAGCTTCTGGTTTTAAGTTAAAACCAGTGCTTAAATGTTAAAACCAAGTAGAAAAGAGCAAATGCTGTATGTGCACTGGCTGATGTGAGGGGGCAGATCGGAGCATTCTTTGTTGATTGGATGTTGCGATGAACAAGTTCACAGCATAGACTGGTCTATTCCTCAGTGAGAGGAGGAATGGACCGAGCTGCCTTTGGCATGAGGGAAGCTAGGGTACTTTTTTTGGCTTAATTTCTCAAGTTGCCTTGTACAGAAAACAAAAAAACATCAGCTGTCAGACCTTTTCCTTTCCTTCTCTGTAGCATTTACATTACTTAAAGCAAGGCCCTGGGTATCTTACCATCATCTTTTTAAACTCATCAGCCACTGTATTCCCTGTCCTGCTGGAACAGGGTGCAGTGATACCCTCTAAAATTGCATGAAAATTTCATTTTCATGAAAAAGAAGAATCCCTTCAGATTTACTGCTTCAGAAAAAAGCTTTCTTAGGAAAGAATGGTCTTTCCCGAGTCAGTCATGCTGGACCGCATCTGTGTAACAGTGATGTTGGGTATTAGCATGGGGAAAGACCTAGGTTTTGTTTTAGGCTTAGGCTGAACTGCAGTTGGCAGAAAGAATATATTTTTCACCTTTAAGTGTATCCTGTAGCTTCCCCTATGGCCAACAGGAAGCAGCATTGATGGCATCTGTGCGGCGGAGCCCTTACAAACAGGGCTGTAATGTGAGAGAGCATCTGAAGGAGGTAAAGAGAATGCAAGATAATGATGATTTGTGGAAGTAGATGGAAAAACTGTATTAATCATAGCTGGTTCCTTATTGCAGACTTTTCTTAAGAAAGTAAGCAGTTT